GCTGGCATATGAGCAACAATCAAGTGCTGAACTATTGCTTTAAGCTGATTCTTTGCCTCACTGTTTTCAGCCCCAAGTCCAAAACCAAACTCTTTTCCCCTGTTTTTGCTAAGCAGGTAGAACTAAAATATCCTGTGATGCTTGATTTCATCAACCTGTTACCATAACTCAGAGAACCACTGGCAAAGGACAGCACATCTCCCTCCACCCAACAACCCTACCAAAAGGGAACAGCCTTTAGCAACAACCAACTGCATGAAATTATGTGCTTCCAGAGCAAGCAAACTCCCCCGGACGACACTAACATTTACAGGACTAGCGGAAAAGCCCCGGTGCTTACTATAAACAGTATGAAATGAGGAGCCAGCACACTGTTTCACTGGTCTATCTTAAAATAGTCTTAAATGAAATGATATTATTATATGTGTTCAAGTACATAAAATATTTAGTATAGATTTACTTTTTGAGTTAGTTTTAATCAATGAGGCTGTCTTGATGGACTCCAAAAATGGAAATCAGAGGTACATATGACACTTTCACAACCCCTAGCATCTAATTTAATTCTGTTTATATTTAAGTGCATGATGCAGAACATTTTTTATTCACTTATATAAAACAAGTATTAGCAATTTTTAAAGAATGGTTTACTTTGTAATCCTGGTCTTCTTCAATTACTGTTCTTAAAGATTAAAGTAAAAATACAAATGGATAGGTGGGCTAATATTAAAGGTAATATGCTGATAAAATCTGATATACCCTTCTAAGGCTGTATGTTTAAAATGCAAGATTAAAACTCATGTTCTCAAACCGGGCATGATGGTTACCTTTGTTCCAGTCAACATCATACCCAAAGTAAAAACTGGATGAAATGTTGCATCACGCTTCCAGTAAACCTCGTCCTGGGGACATTGTGGGCATCATCTTCAAGAACACCTCTATCAAAGATGTCTGTAGTGGCAACGCTGCTGATAACACTGATAATGATCCACCAATGGAAGCAGATGGCCTCACTGCTCAGGTGATTATCCCGTTATCCTGTCGAATGTATTTTTAAATATGTTTGCTTTACATATACATAGCCAACTGCCAGCTATGCTTCTGTCCTGGGTTGTCAGAGAGCTCACACTGCTTCCAATTTTGCTGAGCTCAAAGAAAAGACTAGTCACTGTTGTGATAAGAAGGGAGGAAACAACCCTAAATTCTTGAAATCTGGTGATGATGCCATGGGTTTATATGGTTCCTGGTAAGGCTGTGGGTGTCGAGCTTCTCTGATTTCTCTTCTGCTTTGACTGTTGTCAGTCGCATAAAGTACACAACTGCCTTGATGTCTCCAACGCAATTGACAAGAAGGCTGCTGAAGCTAGCAAGCTTAGCAAGTCTGTCCAGAAAGCTCACCAGGCTCTATGAATATTACTCCTAATATCTACTGGTGTGAAGCGGTGGTGGAAGAATGGTTTTGGAACTGTTCACCTCAAATGCTCATTTGATAGCAAAAGACCAGTTAATGACAACACTTAAAATCTTCAAAAGGAAACGAGACTGTATGGTGAACTATTTCATTCTTTTCTTGTGAAGTATTTTTAAATTAATGGTTTTTCAAATCATTATTCTAACAGAAACAACTTAACTAAAAACCCGCCATAGGACTTTGAGCCCAATTAAAGTCTAATGAGAATAGAAACTGGTTTTAAATATATGTACATTTTTAAAAATCTGTGGAACTTCTAAATACCAGATATGGTGAAAACCACTCCCTATTAAACTTCTTAGTTACTACAGATGTGACTGAGAATTTGAGAACTTAAGTCAATACCTCTTTCATGTATTTTTTCTTAATCAGTACCAGACCCACCAAAAGTGACTTTTTGTAGGCTGCTCTGTTATCCTTGACCCACAGAAGTCTCCAACAACTATATCAGATCTGCTCGAGGGGTGGGGTGGGGTGGGGTGGGGTGAGCACACATTGTAGTGACAATCTATGGTGCCTTAGCTAAGTATGTACCATCATCTAGAGAATTCAGTAAACTTTCTACAGTGTTTAACAGAAAGAGGAATCAATAAAAAAAAATGGGCTTAGGGTGCCTGTGGTTAAAAGAGGTGGGTCCTCCTACCTACGGTGGACATTTCTGCCATGTGGCCAATGTTCTCTACAGCACAAGGAAAAGAGCTCTGGCACATATAAATGGTATAAATCTGGGGTCCAGATTTATGCATGATGAAGAATTCTCACCTAGAGCCCTGGGAGACTGCAAGCTTCTTGCTGTTTCTGGAAAGCAGTGCAATTTTTTCAGGCCCTTTATTGTGGATGTTAGCTTTCAAAGTTCTTGGTTTTATTTCAGTGTCTCAGATCCAGCTCCTACTATGTACACAACCTGTCCCTAGTTTTGAGTTCCCTCAGGGATTTTCCCTTTGGCAGATACACATATTCATTCTCTCTCTCTCTCTCTCTCTCAGACTTATGAAAGAGTTGTTCTGGGACGGCATTCTTAAGTCGGAGTCATTTGTATCTTATATAGTACACTACTGGAATGTTCCTAAATTGGGGACTTACTGTATGTTTTATAGTAGGAAGCAGGCATCCAACTGCTTTACTGAAAAAGTTCCCTGAATATCAATTCCATACTGCTCATCAAAAATATGGTATCTTGGTTTTTTTTGAGACCAGTACTCCCAAATAAAGAAAAGGCACTCTGAAGAGAAAAGACGTGCAAAATAATCATTTTAGAGAATGAGCTGAGAAGTTTACAGCCCTCTCTTCCTTCTCTCCTGATTGACTGATGCTGGCGATAGAACTCAGGGCCTTCAGTGAGCTAGGCATATACTCCTCCACTGTGCTACAGTCCTAGCTTGAACAGCTGTCATTTAGATTCACTTCTTAAAAGACAAGTAATATACACACAGACACCGTCCTTAACCATTATGCTAGGCAGCCTCACTTTATATGTGATACTAGTGGGTTCTTGAGGGGGGAAGGGGAATTCCTTGCTGAAGTGGGCTAGGGAAGCACAGCTGGGATCCTCCTCTACATTTGCTCATTTTCATTATGTTGAGATGAATGGCAACACATAGGCACCTGTTAAGTGGGCTTACAGATTATATTATTTGCTTTAAACTAAGAGAGCTGTAAAAATTCCATAAAGAAGCCATGAATCAAAAACAATATTAACCATAATAATAATCAGAAAACAATAAAATGGCAAATCTGAGGGCTTCTATTCTTAGAATTAGCTCTTTAGTAGGAAGACTCATGAAACTTTTACATTAAATATATATTCCCTGTGTGAATATGCTAAATATATTTTTAGCTTAGATGAACATGTGATAAGAGTGCTTGATGACTTCTGCTCTATGGAACTAAGTTATTCCAGTGCTGAGAAACAAGCTCAATAACTAAAGTGCAGACTTTTCACTGGTGTCCTAGAAAAAAGTTCTACAGAACCTGAGTTCCTAAGTAAAAAAAAACCTCTTGCTCCCTTTAGGTTACCTGAAACTTACTAACATGTGGCGAAACTCCCAATTTTCTTGTAAGTTACACATAAAGGACAATGTTAATATGTTTGATTTCTGCATCCAGGGATGTACAAAGACTTAGATAAGCACTTCCACGTTTCTTTGTATTTTATAAACAGGACAGCAAAACAAATAGGAGTGTAGACTATTTTTGGGCTATATCCATAAAAACAATTTTATGAGAACATGTATGACAAAGTCAGTCATTTAAAAATGTCTCAAGAATCACAGCATACACAATACAGACTGTAGGTTCACTGCTAGCTGTAACTTCTCTTCCACTCAAGAAAGCAAGTGAGCGGAAATTATTATAGAAGCAAATTTGAATCTGCTGAAATAAAACTTTTTTAAAAATCCCTAATTTTAGTCAGTTAGTTTTAGTCACAAATTACTTGAGATTACTCAACACAAATGACTGAAAACAAGATGTCATGGCATCATCAACTGGGACTTACTCCTCAGAGTCTGAACTAGTCACTACAGTGTCTGCGCTGGTTACAGGTATAGTACGATACTCAGTCATCTTAACCTTCTTGGACTAGTCTGCTCCAGAGTGCCTGGATTTCCAGACTGGTCACCTCTGACCAAAGCAGCCTCCTTCATTCACCTTGGTATTTGCTACAAAAATATTACTATTTTTACAGTGACAAAATTTTGATTTTTATTGTCTTGGAATTTATTTGCAAATTATAGTACATGTGCCAAATCTGGATCACCACATATTTTGCACACTTCATGATCTATGAATGGCTTTTACATTTTAAATGGTTGAAAAAAATAAGACTAATAATACATGACACACAAAGATTTTATGAAATCCAAATTTCAACGTCCACAAATGCAAGTTTTATAGGAATAAAATCATACTCCTCGATTTATGTCTTTATGGCCACTTCTGCACTGCAACTGCAGAATTCAGAAGCTGTGACAGACCAGCTAGCCCAAAGGCTGAAAATATTTGTTATCTAAGTCCTCTACAGAGAAAGTTAACTGACTCTCACTTAAGAGTATCTTATCAAAGCTAGGAACTCCAGTTAACTGACTGGCTTGTATGGTGGTTGCAAGCAGGTCAAAGATGGGTCAACATGGAACCTCTCTGTACAAGAAGGTACCCTCCCTCGCCAGGCACCACACCTTAATGTCTGTAAGTGCCTCAATCATATAGCAGAAGGCTAGATTTAAAAATAAGTATACTTGATCTGACAAGAGACTGCTGGGCACCATAAGGTTTGAGGTTATGATGCTCACATAGACTTCTGGAATAAAGGGTGGCTCATGGGCAACAGAACACCATATTTCAAACTGTCTGAAAAAATTATAGGCTGTATGTATGTATCTAGAGTTAATTTCATCAAATGCTTGATGAAAATATAAACACAACTACTTCTCTACATATATGAGGAACAGATGAGCGATAGGGTGGACAGGAAACTAGAAACCAACTTTCCTCAGCCAGGCTCATGTAAGAGAGGAAGAAGCATGACTCTTACTTGCACAAGTGTAGGCGTCTTTGTTGGTGAAAGGTTTCATACAATGGGTACAGCTGATAGGACCCACAACAGGAATGGAACTGAAAGTGTGCCCGTTGACAGCCTTCTTGTCTTTCTCCTTCTCTTTAGAATCTTTGTCCTTCTCCTTAATTTTCTCTTTCTCTTTCTCTTTTTCCTGCCAAACAAAAGAATCAACAGTTAATTGAACACTGGAAGGCCTGTTCTTTACCTGAATATCCAGATGGCATGTAGTCAACAGTGATTGATGAATCTTTTGGACAAAAGTGAAGCACAACGTTCAGGCAAACTTTTTATTATTAACTTATGACTAGCAAGCTACATTAGAAAAATGATACAAAAACTAGACAGAATACACAGTTCTGCAGTGGCTCATTCAGGGCTTATTTATACCGAAAGACACAATGCTCCAAGAGCAACACTGGGAAGAGGCCTGAGGTGTTAGGTAAGGAGTATTTTCCATAAGCTACAGCACAGTCCACTTATGTAGAAAATAAGGAGTTTCAGGTCAACTGTAGGCAGAGAGCAGAATGTTCAAACTGGAAAGAAGAGATGGTTGTGAAGAAGAGGACAAAATAATTGCATCGTGGTTAAAAATTTGGACAGTGGAGCTAGGCTCAGGTTCAAATCTAAGCTCTGCTACTACTACATATCAATGGGCCGGTTAATGTCTAGGTCTCAGCTTCCTTATTTGAAAAGTAAGAAAGTGGCCCTTTTCATATATGCATGCATATATGAAACACATATATACACATGTGTAAAACACATATATACACATTATACACTCAATTAAAATATGCATTTATTTTTAAAAATTAAGTGAGATAGATGGAAGAAAGGGAGAGGAAGAGAAGGAAAAGTAGAAGTAAAAAGAATTAAAATGTGTTATGTACATGTATCAAATCCCTAAGATTAACATAATCATTATGTACTGCAAACATGCACTAAAATTTAATTACATGAAATACATGTAAAGCATGTTACAGAGTGCCTGCCACATAGTGAGTAAGCAATACCATTCAAGAATAGCTATTACAGTAATTATTCCAGCCTCATTGAAAATAAGTTTCATTAGATTACTGCTCTCCTAACCCAAAAGATAAGTATCTTTCCCTGTAATGATGGAAAAGAAATTTTGATTTGAAGATGGAGAAAAGAAAACTAAGGAGTAGCAAAAGGGCACTGGTGCCAAGCAGGGAGGATAGGAAGTGTGAAAAAGAGAGGAAGAAGTCTTGTTGGTATTTTTTCTAAACTACCTTCTTTCTCCCCTCAAACTAGTTCCATAATGGTAACTTCAAGAAAATGGGGACACACAGAAAGGAAGTCCCATGGCCTAGACACTAACTCTTCTGCACCAAGGCCCAGAAAGTTAAGAAAAATAGGCAGTGTCTCTGGTTTAAAGGGACCAGGATTCCCAAGACTTGTTCTCTGCTTTCTACTGCAAAGCTCCCTACTTTTCTGGTAGTCTTCCCTCACCTGTCCAAAGGAAACAGGAAACTGACATTCATGAATATTTAGTATGTGCCCTGCCAACTGGGTGCATGCTAGTGACTGAGCAGACTAGTGCTGTGCCATGTACTAGGCAAAGCTCCAGGACACTGGCTGGCACAGAAGTGACTGAACCCAGTGGGAAAGGTGTCCAGGATTGGGAGTAAGGAGCTCTGGGTATCGGGCTTCTTCGTATGTCACCTAAAAACCCTACAGGAATGCCTGAACACTTTGGAGACAGACCAAAAGAAGAGTGCTTTCATATGGCACCACACTTTTATCTCAGAGAGGTTTATCAAAGCTTATACAAGCATGAAAAGGAGTGAAAAGGAATTTAAACCTGAAAAAGTTGAAGAAATATCTAAGAGTGCTAGATCCTTATGTAAATTATCTAAAAAAGTCAGGGATACTTAAGTGGCCAGGCCCGTGGGGATAACACTCTTCAGAAAGGATTCTTTGAAAGAACTGTTTGGCAAAGAACTTGGCTAGCTAATCAAAATCTAACAATTTCGTTTCAAACCAACTGGACTACAAAGAACCACAATAGAGGTTTAAGTGTTTCAGGTTTTGCCACACACTATTGTTATAACCTAGAAAAGTATCTGGAAAATGGTATTTCAAAGTTAGTGATCATGACACTACTTGATACCTTACATTTTAAGTTAATACCTTTTTTACAGATTATTTCATATGATTCAGTAACTCTAAACTGGGAAAGCCAGGTATTATGCTTCCAATTTTTTTTTTTAGCTAGCTAAATTCTGAATGGTTACTGTGTGTCAGACATGGTAATAAGCAATTTGTAAGAATTTTCTAACAACTCAATGAATTAAGTACTAGTTATCTCCACTTTACATCTGAGGAAAGTGAGGCTTAGAGATGTTTAAAAATACCCTTGAGGCCACCCACCAACAATGCTCGATCTAGAATTAACATCCAGATCTGGTTGGCCAACTCAACTCTCAGTCCCTGTGACACTGCAGTGCACAGGCAAGAGAACACAAAGCATTTTCTGTGAAAAACCTATCCACTCTACTGAAATGGTAAATACTTCCTAAAATGTAAGATTCATGTGAAGTCCTCTGTTTATAGAAAACTACATATAAAAATCTAAGAGCCATAGTGCTCTAGTCTGGAACTATACAGAATATTAAGAGAGGAAGGGAGAAAAGCAAACTTCACTTTACAAAACAGGAAACTGTTCAAAGTGAAAATCAGTTAACTGCTAACATACATAAAACTCCAACAGAAATCAATAAAAATCCGAGTTTTTCAAAAAAACCTCTTTATTTCCACTAAATTTTCCTGCAGGCTTCTCTATGTATAAAATTTTAAACTAAAAAGCATCTGCCTTTTTTGCTTAAGGAGGCTAAAAGTATGCTCCAATAGTCAAAAAAGCTACAACTCGCTAATTCTTCCACACTCTGCAATGCTCTTCATATCTGAATAAATAATTTCATCATCCCCTGCAACAATCCAAAATAGTTCTTCCAAAGACAAAACAAAGTAACAAACCAATTATACCGCTCTTTCTGTTTTTATCAGATTTCAGTGCTTTAGAAAAGTCAGGCTCTTACCTGCCCATACTTTTGTCCTGGGAATCTCACTGTTATCAGGGGTACTTCAGGAAGTCGACCCCATTTAACCGACATGATGCAGCCCCCATGCCAGGAAATGTGCTCTCACAGAAGGAGGGGCTCATGCGGGCAGGGCAGAGCACAACAGCTTTGAGCTGCCATTAGTGAAACCATAAGAGGAAGCCAGAGACTGGTTGAGAAAGGGAAGGAGGGAGGGCTGAGGCTGCTGGTTTCCTTAAGATAGCTTTTTATCCCTTCAGACAAGCTTAACTATTTGAATGCTGCTGGTAAAACTACTCTAGTTATAAAAGACCAGGGAATTAAACGAAGCAAAATCCAGTGTCTGTGGACAGTACTTACACTGCAATATGGAAACTCAGTAATAAATGGAACATATCTTTCCTGTTTAAAAACAAACTTCAAATTTTACAAAAAGCAGAACCTTTTAGGAAATTTTCAAAATTAAAGTTGCCAATGAAAAACTTGTATTTGATTGTTTTCTGAAGTTTCATTTGTCCATGGTTAGTACTTGCAAAAATTCTTTAACAATGTACTGTGGGAACAGATTCGAACAGCATTTATAAAGGAAAGATACTGGCAACATGTACCCTAGAATCTAATAATGAAAATGATTTTTCATTTTCCCAATCCTACGCTTAAAGTGAATTACACTGAAAAATCACAATACTCTGGACCACTGTGAAAACACAGCAAGACTAACAACTATCCTGGTACAGATCTTTAAACAAAGATATAAGAAAATCATATTTAATACTGACCTAACCTTTTACAAACACTAATGTACTCTAGTTGGTACCTTTGAAACATTAATGGGCATAGTTCTTTTTCATACAAACCACAGAAACTAGGCATTGGAGTTCAACGTACTGCTATAAATTCACATAATAATCTACTTTGAGTCAGAATGTTTGGTCTAAAACATTTCTAAACATCCTCTGATTGTGCACGAAAAGAGGAAAGCTTAGTAGAGAAAAAGAAAACCAGTGTGATAGGATGGTTTAAAGAGGGTTACTTCACTCTCTTTATGAACTTGAACCTTACATAAGTATTTGAATACTTTTAACAACCAAACCTAATTAGTGAGAAACAGTACTACTTCTCAAAGACAAAAGCAGAAACTGTCAGTCTTCCTGTTGTACTTCCTGTTTAGGCTCTACCCATCTCAGAAATAGTCAATACATTTATCTAATAACTCACACCAGTTATTGATGCCTCTTAAATATGCCCATGTTAGGGACTGGTAACTAAATTTCTTACATAAAAACTACATATCCACATACCCAAGTACCTCCCCGTCTGTCTGCAAAATGTATTACCAAGTATGTGAACCATTTGCTACCTCATGGCTGACTCCTGGCTCCTTTGAGTATTATCCAAGAACTGTTTATGACCACAATTTAACATACAGAATGTAGTAAGTTTAGGTTAGTAGCTATAAGCTGTCTGTATCAGTATATATACCATGCATGAGAAAACAGGAAATTTCCAAATCACCCTAAGATAAAAATTATAGTTGTTCTTTTAATATGGTAATATAATAATTCAGTAAATGCTTAAATTTTTTCTTTTCAGAAAATAGGCAGGGTTACATTATCGTATAGATGAATAAAACAGATTAGATGGGCTCTGATAGCATAATTTAAAAATAAAAAGTGAAAATTTATCATCTTCATAGAAAAATCAATGCTGACATCTCTACTAGCACTTTTAAATTTTAGTATTATGATTAAGAAAAAGTAGAATTAGTATTATCATGCTAAAGATTTGAAATTCATCTATATTTGTTATCATTTACAAAATAAACTGCTTCTAAATGTTAAAGCTGCATTATGCATTCACAGCATAGTAAGACGGTTATTTATTCTGTGTTATCAAAAAATAAAGTGAATCTTCTTTTTATGGTTTTAAATTCATTACAGTAAAAGATTCTGATAGTGTGAAATGGAGTACAATCTAAGACTATGGATTAGTAATTTTTTGAGTTTCCATAGCAAAAGGCAGCACAGTCTCAAAGATCAAATCTTGAAGCCGAGACTGAAAGAGGAACCAGTCTCAATTGCAAGAGTGCTTTCATTTCGACAAAGGAGATGATCTGAGGCAAAAGTTTAACTGGTAACTTCAATATGGCCAGTGACAACAGATACCCCTTTAAAATAAATTCTCATCCAATTTCTACATAACTCTACTCCTCTGAGAATGGGCAGGGTAGAACATCGGTTAAGAGTAAGCACAAAATGTGAAGTGCTATTTGCTAGAATTCAAAAGGGGTACTCAAATACTGTCAAGTTCTATGATTGAACCTAATTCTTTGGGTTCTGATTTATAAAATAAAGAGGCTGGCATAAGACTTTTTTAGGTAAAAGATCAGGTTCTAATTTCTAAGTTTACTTTTTCTTTGTTTTTTTTTTTTTTTTCCCATGAATTTATGTATTACCTCATAAACAAGGTCAGTGGTGTATTTACTGTCTTGAAAGTCCATTTATTGGGGAGATGGATATAAGTAAGAATCTCCACTTATTTATTTGCCTTTCACTTAAGTTTGTTTAATGACAGTTTAAGAACCTAACGAAACCAAACCAAAATAAAAACAAAAAAATCTGAAACCATCCTAAATAGATCTCAAAAGTTTACAAGGTTAAGACTGAGATTATAGAAATCACTCAGTAATATCTGGCTATTTATACTGACCTTTGTAAGAAGTCTCTCTTGCTTTCCTCTGTCCAAGTGTGAATAAGTAAAATACATTAGGTTCTATTTTAAGCCTTGCTGTCAGTAAGAACACTGGTAAGCATTCTATCTTCTCTGACTTAAGTTTTTTAAAAGTTATAAAATAAAGCTAACTACAAAGTTCATAGTTAAGTAAGTGCTTATGATAGAAATGATTTGCTAGACTCCTTCCACCTTTTCCTGACTGCCTACTCTCTCTGTATTTTGCAGTTGGGCAAGAGAAGTGAAGAGAAAACACAATTCAGGTGGTGAGTTTTGTGGCTACTTAGCGGAGGGCATGAAAGGCTCAGGAGGAAGTGTACTTTTCTTGAGGGTCTATGTTTGTTTATTCTTATTTCTAAGAATGTATATATGCACATGTTTGTATGTAAGTGTATTTAAATATACAAATATATATATATAAATATATTTATATATACATTGCACATAATATGCACCATAATTCCTTGCAAAATGCCTTAATTCAAATTTTTATTATTTCTTTATCATGTCAAAGGTTTTGTGGGTAGGTGAAAGAAATACAGGGGAAGTGGGAGGTACAAAGTTTCTCCCCACTGATTTGAAAATGCTGAGATTATTTATCTCCATAGAATTTATTACAGATTATTTTTAATTTTTTTTGACATTTTGAAGATTCCTATAATGAACATGCAAAAACTAGGTTTAAAAAGCTAGTTTAAATATTGTAATCTAGTAGGAGGACTAAATAGGATATATTCTAAGTGTTCTTAATTAGAAATACATCTAAGCCAGGCATGATAGCACATGCCTGTAATTCCAGCTAGTAGGGAAGCTAAGGCAGGAGGAGTGCAAGTTTGAAGTCAGCCTAAGTAATTTAGCCCTATCTCAAAACTAAAATGGATTGGGGATATAGTTTAGTAATTCTTGTGTTGAATCCCCAATACTGCAAAATCAAAACAAACAAAACCCTCAGACTGAACAAAAAATTCAAATTGAATTAGTCTTTAAAAACTTTTATAGGGGCTGGGGGTTTAGCTCAGCGGCAAAAGCGCCTGCCTGGCAAGCGCAAGGTCGTGAGTTCGGTTCCCGGTACCGGAGAAAAACCAAAAACCAAAAAAAAAAAAAAAAAAAAAAAAAAAAAAAAAAAAAAAAAAAAAAAACAAAAAAACTTTTATAATTTTCTGTGGGATAATTTTCTTTTCCCAAACCAAAATACTACAAATATTGCTTAATTTCCTGATCTCAGCATAAAACCATTCCACTGAATTTCAAATCTGATTTACTGACTTAAGCACTGTGGCAGAGCGTGGACCAGAAACCAAAGAGATCTGGGTGTGAACCTCTTCTCCATAGGTTAATTTACCTCATGCCTACCTTGCTGAGTAACTGAAGAGAAATACTGATATATGAAGGCTCTTGGCATAGAATAAAAACAGTGAACATCAGTACCTATGTTTTTATTACTGGTATTTTTCTTCAAATAGTAGCCTATTTCTAAGTGTGCCCTGGATTTGTTTTCATTTATGTTCTCATTATTAACTTCATGGGAGGGGGTTATACACTGGTCATGCACAAGTTTACTAGTGATGGACTGAGGTGGTCACACAAGGACTGTCCACAGTAATACTTACTTTGCTCTTCTTACTACTGGACATTTTATTCCTGATGTAGCTGAATGTACGACTGACTTTTGTTCCACTCTTCCCTTCAAAATCTTTCTTGGAGGGGCTTTGTGGCAGGAAATTATAGTTCTCCTCTGTTATACTAAATAAAAATAAGAAGACATTTTCAAAAAAAGGACTATAGAAGTTAAACGGGAAGCAGTGTAAGAGACAGACAAGCTGCTTAATCATTTTATTTATATAATATCAAAGAACAGAGCATGCCCCATGCTCACATTATAAACACCTGGTTAAGTTTTCTTAAAGCAGCCATTAATGCTTTGATTATGGAATTTGGGCATAGTCGTGTATAGCAGTAATCTAGCACTCTGGGAGGCTGCAGCAGGAGGATCATAAACTCAAGAGCCCCGCCCGGGCAACGTAGCAAGACCCTGCCTTAAAGTTTAAAAAAAAGTACTACAGCTGGAAGGCCCTGTATCCAGTTCCCAGAACAAAACAAAACCAAAACACAGCAACAAACCAAAAAGACCACCACCACTCTAACAAAACCCCTGAAGTTTTAGTTACAGATTTTTAAGTAACTGATTATCAAAGAGCCTATTATTCATTATTTTACCTGAAATGTCTTAAATCTAAAATAGCATGCCTACCAACTTCTTTGCAAAAAATTGGTGCATGACAGGGAATCCATATACGTACTGGAACAGGAGGGTACTTGTTAATAAGGGTTGCAAACCAAGGAATCTTCTGACTGGTTGTATATCCAATTCTTTAATAGCAGAGGTTACACAACTTTTCTAGCTTTATAGTATACTGGACAATCAAGACTGTGGACTTGTCCATGAACTATGAGTAATTTTAGGAGGGAATATACTAGCAGGCAGATTTCAGGAAGGTAGTAGAGAGTTTCATTTCGAGAGTTTTCCAGAGATCCAGATGTACTGATCCACTTGTTCAGGAAGCCTACGTCAAATCTAAGTTCATCTGAGACAGGTACACTGTGACCTTTAGGGATCCTTCAATAGTTGATTTTCTTAAAGAATATGGGACATTTAAATAAATAATGGAAAAAGAATCCATTTATACTATTTTGCTTAGGTATTTACTTAGAATAATTACTTAGGGCTTTCCCTGAAGTAGTGCAGGCTTCTGTGAGGGCAAGCAGCAGCAGAACCATAAGGGTTCTCTTCAACAGCTGAAGTCTATTTATGTAAGTGTTTACAAAACAAAGTACTCCTTTAAGACAAAAGGGAAGTTGTACAAAAACCATTGCTCTAGACAGGAACAAAAAAGACATGAAGGCAGTGCAAACAAAAACACTCATTGAGAAGCTTCTGGATCACTAAGTAACTAAAATTATTCAATTACTTAGAACTGTACATCATATACAGATATACAAAAGACATAGCCATTTTTTTTTATTGTTGTGGTGGTGGTGCTGGGAACTGAATTCAGCGCCTTGCACATGCTAGACAAGTACTGCAGCAAATGTGGAATCACACTTCTAGCCCAAGAACACAGTCTAAAAGATTAAAGTAAAAAGGTAATACATAAAAATTATGAAACAAATGCTGTTAGATTTAGGAATGAAAAATTCGAACAAGTAAAGCACACATAAATTTATATAGTCAAATATAAATATACTTTTACATAAATAAACACAAATAATCTTTATCATGAGAAATAGTATAAAGAATCAAAGTGAAAACTACTGCATGTACTAATTTAAAAAATACAGTCTCCAATACAAAGCCTTTGATAATTACTCCAAATTTATCACTCAAGGAAGAACCTAATGAGCTCATGTAACTCAGTTTACTTAATTAAATGCCGTAACATAGCTTGGATTTCCTTTATATCATTTTGGGAAAATGAACAACAAAATAAACAGTATTACCTTTCAGTCAGATTAGCACTGGTGTTGTGGAAAGGCCGTGAATCTAGAAAATAAAAAAAAAGCAAAGAAACAGTTGAAACAAAAGGATTTTACTGATGATAGGTTGAACCCTTAAACATTTATGGCACTGCAAAAGCAAAAATAATGTTTGAAAGTCAGTGAGTGGTGCCTCCTTCTTCAAAAGATTTGGAAAAAGAAGAATCAAAGCTTTCAAATTAGAATAGCGGTACACAGTGAATTTCCCATGAAGAAGTAAATTCCATCTAGGACTCAAATTAATTGCAAAAGGCCAACATCAATATTGTTTTCAAATGCTTTAATACACATGAAGCCTGTTTAATTTCTATTCTTAGCAATGTTCAGTTTTCACAGGCTATTTTTCTGAGATGCCACAGGAAGAATATAAATAAGAAAGTGAGTGCAATATTTTTCCCTGCTAAACATGCTTTCATATATGTCTGTATTAAAAATTTAGTACTATCTGACATTTTCCTAAGAATTCCTAGCAACAGATTAGCACACAGAAAACAGAATTAGAATTGGCTTAAAATATCGGGTCTGTGACGAATTTAGGGTAAAATATCTCAATTTCAGTCCCTTATCCATGAAACGAGGTAGATACAACAGTGGTGAGCTCATTTCCAGGTAGGCAGTAATAAGATGAACGGGGCAGGGGCATTCTTCCTCCAACCCTAATGAAAAGATTGCAAGTGGATGCATTAAAATTCTAAGGTTAAATCAGACAGTAGGGCAATACACACACACAAAATAGAAGGAAAAGTATTGTTATTTTGATTTATTACACATTAATTACATTTGAACAGCTCAGGGCTTAGGTAGGAGCAAGGCCTCAATTACAAAATGATGAATGACTTTCAATTTTTAGTGATATTAAGTATAGAAATACTTTCCATGTATATTGAAGGTGGGAATAGCTTGCTCAGTATAATGTGGACAGAATATCTCTTTCCCTTTGAGACTGATTTTAAAATCTCAGAAATTACTGTGAAACTTTAACCTGATACAGATTTGAAAATGTTTTCCCAACCAGATTTCCAGCCCTGCAAACATTCTAAACTCTCAGTCTGGGGTAGATTTTAAACAGAAATGCAAAATTGTTATTACTGCTAAGAAATTAGTCAACAAGTAGAAATAACGCATAAGAAGCTTTAAAAGAAAATCTAAATATTCAAAAGACTGCCTTGTGTGATATTCCCTACTTTTGGGATTCTTCTATTTCACTTGTTACACATGGCTAAAAACACTCAAGCAAGAGGGAAAGATCAGCAGGGTAAGAATCTCTGAGATCCATCCCCAGTTGTATACGATCTGGGTGTGAAACTACCAACATTTTAACCTCATAATGCCTTAGCTTAGTTAGCTTAAAGAAGCAAAAATCAAGATGATAGCTTAAATCAGTGGCTTTAAAACTTTTCCCATCCAAGGAGCCTTTGATGATATAAGCTGCATTAAATTCTCTCAGGTTGCCAGCATTCTGCTGTAAGTCTAAACAATTATTTAGTAATTTTAATATGAACAAAATACAAGTAAAACCCATAATACACAAAAATCCCAACACAAAGCCTGGGGAGGAATAAGCTACCAAGAGATTTCTGCAGAAGAAACTGAAAACAGAATTGGTGATTTGGACCTGGGAGAATCCGTAACTCCTACAGGATTTTCAAATTTTTTACTGCTGAAAGATTTTAGATCAGATACTATGGTTTCCTAGATATGGATCTGAAAACTGGTCAATTCACCAACGCCTCTAAAATACCTAAAGTATCACTAAGCATCCAGAGCATTTTAGAGTATAAAACAACCAAAGTTACTTCCATGACAGACAGAAGAAATGCCTTTAAAGTAAGCCCATAAAATACTACTGCAGGCATATAACATAGTCAGCCAGATTTAGAGAGTTCTGGGCACATTATGGTTTCCTGATTACGAAGTTGGGAAAACATGGTATACCGAACACTGCCTTGGAACTTTACAAGATACACACATTCAGAGTTTATAGAATTTACTTGGTCATAAACCAACCCCTTTTTTTTGTTCCCCACCATTCAATTTTCACTAGCATTCCTGAGTTTTAAGGAACAGATTTTGAGAAATGCTAAACATTAGATTTAAAGGCTTCTTCACCTTTTATGCCTTTAGGATTGTACATACTAGATTAGCTGAGTGACCAGTGCGGTTTTGGGATTATAATTCTACATTAATGGTACAAGAAATACAATTGAGAATGGTTTGTCATGATGACTTGGCTAATTCTTGGCTATTCCTAGAGCATTACTAACACTCTGAGATAAAACAGATTCAAGAACTTTCCATCTACTATAATTAGTATAATATAAACATTTTACTGTATTATTTATGTCAAATATCTCTCAATAGTAAAAAATATAATGAACATTGACAAGGCCTCCAATGAAAACTAAATTAACTAAAATTTGTCTGTTATTTGCTAACGGTATCTTCTTATTAAAAAAAAAAAAGCAAAATTGCTAGCCAGGAGAAGGCCTGCATATTGTTGCAACTTTCAGTCACCAGGAAAGAAAGAAATTCAGTTAGGGTGCTCAATACTATTAATGTAAGTGTTTGAAAGCCATAATATTGCAAGAATATATCACCTGAAGCCTACAGCTTCCTGAAAGTTCCAAAGGAGAGAGGAAAAAATACGTAACTCCCACCCCCTCATATATAAGGCTTAATGGTTTTTTTGGGGGGGTACCAGGAATCAAACTCAAGATCTCACGCTTGTCAGGTAGGCGCTGCACCACTGAGTTAAATCCCTTTCCCCATAAGGCCTAATCTTAAAGGTATTTTTTTAAAAAAAGAAATGGTCTGAGCCAGGCGTGGTGGCACATGCCTGTAATCCCAGCACATGGGAGGATGAGGCAGGAGGACTGTTGTGAGTTTGAGACCAGCCTGGGCTACAAAGTGAGCTCAAGACCAGTCTGAACTCCATAGTGAGACCCTGTCTCAAAAAGACAAAAAACAAAAAATAAAAAACAAAAAAAAAGATAGTCTGAAAAGGTGAGAGAAAAAAGAATTAGCTTTTAAATATCACAGATGGATTAGATAAGTGTCCCATGAGACAGAAAAATTAAACAAGGAAAATGAAATCAATGTCAAATGTAAAGTTTTGTGAAATAATACTGTGTTTTACAAAGGGTACAGAGTGAGTTATATCATTTAATGCCTTCAAGGATATGATCTAGAAAGCTACCCTGGGGCCTCAAATCAGAAGTCCGCTGGATCAGAGTTAGCAATACAAAGAAGTAAAAATTATTTTATCCAAATCAAGTTTTTAAAGGCGTGCATGAGGTCAAATGATTTATAAAAGATGGGATGCAAGGATGATAGAAGGTCTCAGTCTAATTTTTTCATACTAAGCCCACAGCATTTTCAGAGCTTGTCAGACCCAGGAGAACAGCCATGGATGGACATCAAAGTTGCTTACTTACTATGCAACTCCTCCTCCTCATCACTGGAATAAGAAGAGCCAAGAGAAAAGAGAGTTTTAGACTTAAGGAGGAGTGGAGAGATGCTGATGGAGAAGGAGATCCGCGTTGCTGGCTGCATCTGTGGTTGAGCTGAGAAGTAGGTTAACAGAAAGACATTAGAGCACACATAGATTCTCTTGGGATAAAGTAAAAGGCACTTCCACCCCATGTGAGAGCAGAATAATATAATGGCCTATAGGGTGCCAAAAAAGGATATGTAGGTGAACAATGTAATTTATTTAAATTTTTTCCTGAATATCAAGAATTATAATGCAGTTTTAAAAACCTCATTGAGGGGCTGGGGATTTAGCTCAGCGGCAAAAGCGCCTGCCTGGCAAGTGCAAGGTCGTGAGTTCGGCTCCCGATACCGGAGAAAAATAAAAAAAAAAAAACCTCATTCAACAAATAGGTACTTGTTAGAAGAAGCACATTATTTTTAATGGTCAGAATTCAGAGTTGGAATTTTCTTCCTTAAAAGTTTACGGAAACAGAGTAGTGGTGCTCCTTGGTATCCTGTACTGTACTTAGCTCTCTTTTCATTCTCCCCCAACCTCCTCATTCTCCCTATCTCTTCACAGACATTGTGTACACAATACACTCCTTATTTCTGAGTTCCATCTTTCTGATCAAGTACATCTCTCCTTTCAGAGCTAGACTCATTCATCTCATTGCTCATCTTCGACTGGATATTCTGTAAGTAGCTGAAACTCAAAAAAGTTACTTGTTTTTCTCAATGACCTGATTTTCCTCTTCTATTCCTTCATTTAGTGAATAGAACCTAATATCTAACTAATTACTGAAAATAGAAATCTGGGCACCGCTCTCGAATCTTTGTAGCATTCCTCCCCAGGCCTCTCGATTACCTTTCTACAGAACCTCCCTTGTCCTCTGCGGTGGCTGCTCTAAGCTCTGGGTGAAGACACAAACTACTGTCTTGGGAATCCTGCAGAAGCCTTCTGCTGACCTCCAACCTTTTTTCCCCAAACCTTCAGTATGGCACGTCTAAAGCAGTGACGGCAAATGTTTTAGAGATGAGTGCTCAAACTGCAACCCCAAATCTGCTTATTTATTATAAAGTGCCAACACAGTAATAAAACCTGAATACTCAGGCTTTAGTTTAAAAAATACTACTCACATGTTAATATCTTCTGTCTTAAAAGAAAAACACAGTAACAGACCTTTTAAACAGCTTTTTATGGAAAGATTAAGTCTGCATTTGGTGTGCTTTTGCACTGTCACTGTGCTCTTCGCCATTGTGTGCATGCTGGTAGCTTGTCAAGCCTTGGCTCATACTTCGTTAGTTTGACAGCTACACACAGAGCATTCACGTCATCTATTATCTGTTTCTTGTATCAGATTTGATATAATTCACAGCCAAAGACAGCTGCTCAGAAACATAAGATGATTCAAACAAAGTAAGAAAAGCAATCCCAAGTGCTTGCATTGACTTAAAATTATTTGGCAGAGAATGCCACTTCAAGGATTTCATTTTCACACCTACCAACTGTGCTGTCCTTTGTCATCCATTCATACT